GCTGTCACCTTGAGTATGGCTCTCAGGTATCCACAGTAAAGAACCTCAGAAACAAGATGAAACTCCTCAGATTTTAGAACCAGAAAGGTTTGTCCTGTTTCTGTTTCATGGGCTGTGAATCAAAGGGACATAACTGGACTGGACAGAAGGGTCCCAGAGGTGTGGCTTGGGAGCTGCTCTAGGTACCACAGCAGACTGACTCTACTTCAGCTGCCACAACACAATTGCTAATAGAGAACCAGAAGGAAAGTAAATGGAAAAATCTTTTTGGAACAGAAATAGATTTCCCCATAATAGAAAGTTTCTTGATGCCATTCCTCATACTTTATCTACCTAGCAGCCTGCAATTGTTGCAGAAGTCACATCTCAATCAAACAATACTCACCATAAACATAACCCACACATGCCTGCTTCACTGCTGAATAAGGAATCCCAGCATCAGCTAAAGCTGCCTGGCCTAAAAAAAAAAAGTTTAAAAGTTGGAAAAAAAGTTTAAAATTTAAGGTAAAATTAAAAAAAAAATCAGCTCTCACAACCACAACAAACAAACCTAGAGTAGTATGCATGAGTCTTGCATTCACAAATGAGAGTTGTAGAGATTCCTTATTATATGGTACAAATATGGTCTTGTACCTCAGAAGGACAACTTCATTCTCATAAGGACAATTTCACAGTATTTTGAGTTCTGAACAAGCTTCTCTATCAGAAAATTTCATTCAATCAATTCTGTGCTCATGCCCAAGGTTGTCCATCCCAATGAGAGTAGGTTTTCAATAATATAGGTAAGTATTCAATTATTTAAGTGCACAATCCAGTTTTAAGCTATCCTGCTGACTTCAGCCTGGAAGGGCTGACCTGGACAGGTCAGCTGTGGATTTGCTGAAAGTGGTCTGAGTTTTAAATCTGTTTTTTAGATGTATCTATTTATTAAACAGTAGCTTTTCCTTCACGTGTGTAATAAAACTATTGGCTGTAAGACCTAAAAAAAATTTCAGCAATCAAACAAAATGCTTTATTACTAAATTACCTGCTTCCTTAGCCATGTCAGGATAATCAGCACACTTCTCACTAGGCTTTGAAAACTGGCAAGAGAAAAGGAAGGAAAACAAGCTGAGAATAGATCACCGTGAGATTTAATTCATATTTTGCTCAAATTGGTACATGTAAAAGCTTTAGATTTAATTTAGAAATAAGTTTTAAATAATGCAAATAAAATGTAATTTCATTGACCCAAAAGTTCATGTACAAAATCTTTACAATTCCCAAGTGCTGCTGCCAGACCCTGCAATGGCAAAAAGGAGAAAATAGTGCAACTTTATGGGAGCTGAGAGCCATTTCTGGTCACTGTTAAAGAAGATCCATGACTATGGAGATGGACAATAATCCTGTCCAAAGCCTGTGGGTGGGACAGAGAATAACTGTAATCTTCACCAATTCATCATAATATTCATTGAAGCTCTGATAAATACTTCCCTTACACTTTTTCTTTCTTTTTTTTTCTTACAATCCTATTTGTAACAAGAAAATGTTTGTTCTTTGTAGAGAATTTATCATACCTTACTCCTCAACATTGGAGTAGAGGTGACATTTCTATTTTCTTTGCAGTGTAACTCATTAGAGACCATCACAAGTACATGTGGTTTGCATTTTTACATCACTAACAAAAAGTGTCACTACTAAAAGAAATCCTCATGCTAATTACTTATAATCCTACAAATTATTTGATGTCCCCTGTGAGCATATGAAAGTCAATTTGCTGCCTCCTTCTGCTTATGTCCCTGACTCCAGTCATTCGTACCACTTGGCTGTACTTTCTGCAGAGCCTCCTTTCATTCATTTAGACAGAGAACCTACACAGCAAAGGTCATAAGAAAAAACAGTTGGCGAGTTGGTCATTGTAGAAGTCTGTATTGATACTGCTTGGGCTAACAGAGAGGAGAAGAGTCCTGACAATTCCTCAAGTCATGCTCAAGTGGTAACTGAGATGATCCACTCCTGAAAATGCAGAGCACTTTTGCTTAATCCTAACTCTAGCCTTAATCATGCCTTGTGGAAACTTGAGGCCAATTCCTCTTGTCCCATCACTCGTTACTTGGGAGAGGAGCCCCACTTGGCTCCACCTGCTCCCGGGGAGCTGCGGAGGAGCTGAGCGGGGCGAACCGTGCGCTCACAACCCCAGGGACAGGAACAGAAAGGCCCCAGGACAGACCCTGCCCTGAGCCCTGTCCCGGGACGGGCCCAGGGCCAGCGGCTGTGGGGACACAGGGACACGGGGACACCGTGCCCGCTGCAGGGCTGCTGTATCGACCCGCTCTGCGGAGCACCACGTTCACCTTGGCCGGGGTCCGGCCTCCCCCGCACCCGAGCGAGGGTGAACTTTGAGCGGAGCCGCTGCCGCCGGGCCGGGACCGGGCTGTGCCAGCGCGCTCCCGAGGAGCCACCGCGTCCCGTGGGGGGCTCCAGCCGCGCCGGGGAGGGCGCGGGCGGCTCCCGCAGCACTTCCCCCGCAGCACTTCCCCCTCAGCGGACAGCCGGGGGGCGCGGCGAGGCCGGCCTGGCGCGGGCCGTGTCCCCCCGCGCACAGACGGGGGCCGGTACCTTGGTCATGCCGACGCCCACTACGAACACCCGGCGCTGCATGATGGCGATGGCGGCGGGACAATCCCTGCTTCTCCCGCTGCTGTCGCCGTGTCCCGCGGGCCCTCAGCGACACCGGGGCGGGGGCGGAGCGAGCGCCCGGGGGCCGGGCCCCATGGGCCCGCCCCTTAAAGGCGCAGCGCCCCCATTGCAGCACGGGCCGGGTGTCCCTGCCCAAAGCGCAGCCATGGCCGGTCTTACAAACATCCCTGCTTATCCCCCTGAATTCCCCCATCCCGGCGATTAGCAGACGTTTTCCCAAAGCGGACGTGCAATGAAGTTCGCTGCTTCTCCAGAGGGGGGCAGTGAAGATGGTGAAGGGTCTGGAGTACAAGTGCTGTGAGGAGCAGCTGAGGGAGCTGGGGGCGCTCAGCCGGGGGAAAAGGAGGCTCGGAGGGCCCTTCCTGCTCTCCACAGCTCCTCACCCTGCGGGTCAGGCTCTGCTCCCAGGGAACAAGGGACAGCATGAGAGAAATGGCCTAAAGTCGCACCAGAGGAGGTTTAGGTTGGACATTAGGAAGAATTTCATCGCAGTAAGGGTGCCAAAATATTGGAATGGGCTGCCCAGGGAGGTGCTCTGGGCAGAGAGTCACCATCTCTGGAGGTGTTTAAGGAAAGACTGGACGTGGCACTCAGTGCCATGGTTTGGGGGACAAGGTGGTGATCAGTCATAGGCAGTACTTGATGGTCTCAGAGGTCTTTTCCAACCCAATTGATCTTGTGGCTCTGTAATTCTTTTCCTCTAGAGTTGTCTTTGGGATGGATACGTGACGAGATCCTTCTCTTTTTCTGAAATGCTGCTTGTTACCTACAGATTTATTTACAGAGAGACCTGAATATCTGACCTTTCATCCACTCAACTTCCCCCTTCCCTCACTCCGTCATCCTTGGGGATCTCCACGGCTCGGGCAGAATGCAAATCACTTCCTGCCTCCCACAGACCTGGCTGCACCCGCCCAGGAGGTGCCAACTCCAGCCAAGCTCCTGGCGGTGCTGTTATTGTGGCGCCCTTGTTTCGCACCTCGCGGCTCCTCCCCCGCTCCCCTGCAGTCAGCGGGCTGCCAGCGCTGCCAGTTCCCGGCGGGGGCCGTTCCCCGGGAGGCGGAGCCCGGCCCGTGCCGGTTCCGGCGGCGGCCATGGCCATGCTGCGGCTGTGGCGGGCGGTGCCCGCGGCGCTGCGCGGGGCGCGGGGCCGGGCGGGCGCGGCCGGGGCGCCGCGGGGCGCGGAGGTGCTGCTGAGGGCGGCCGGCGGCGGTGAGTGCCGGACTCGGAGCGCGGCTCCGTTTCTGCCGTTCCCGGCGGAAACAGCTCGGCCTGGCGTGAGCGCGGCCGTGTGTCCACCCACACGGTGGGTGACAGCCCTGCCGAGCCCGGGGCGCTCCTTGTTGTTCTGCTTTCAGTAATGCCTTGATGCTGTTTTTCAAAACGCTGCTGCAGAATGAATAGTTAGATACTTTTTTCCCCCTAAAATTATGTGTGCATGCGACCTCAACGCAGGAAGTTCTGGTTTGCATACTTTAGATTTTTCTAACAGCATTAACATTTTTCTAACAGCAGTGATAAAGATAGGACAGGACCTTGACACATTTATCCAAGAGAACCACGAAGTAGTTTGAGGTTTGGCTCAGATTGCCCGGGATTTACTTTCTGTGTAACTGTTGCAGGAGTTTATAAACAGTTCTTGGTATTTTGCTGGTTACAAAGACATTAGGTAGTTACCAGCTGTACATTTCCTTTGCTGGTTCCGCTGTTCACTCGTGTCTCCGTCCCAGTGCCGCACATCTCTGGTTCAGCAGCTGGCCACGGCCATAGGCAGAGGAATAAACAGAGACCTTCCAGCAGGGCAGAAAGACCAAGCAAGGCAGGTGCAAGGTACGGCTGTGCACCTACAGCACAGCAACAGCATCTTCCAATGTTAAGGCTTGGGAAGTGAGCAGAAGTCCAGACAAAAAAACAGAAGATGTTGGTTTTTTTCTCTCCAAAGCATACAGAAGCCATTGGATAATAATTTACAAATCACATGTGCTAAGAAGTAGGTAGATGTTGTGGTTTTATTTTTCTGCTTGGACTTAGGAACTTTGAGTAGAGTCCTTTCTGCTGATGAGCTTATAATGTTGAAATTAAACGGAGTTCACTTTCAAAATGGTTCTGGAACATGAACTGCGTGTGACCTGTCTGTGCTGTTCTCATGCAAACAGCAATCCCAAGAGGATGGTTTCCTTCATTAGGGACTGTACTTGAACACAGCAAGACTGTACAATAAAAATTAAATAACATTCAAAGGAGAAACCTAAGATGGATCATTTGAGCTCTGGTTTGTTGTTTGGTTTTTTTTTTTTTCCCCCATTTCTGCAGTGATTCTAAGATATATGTTCTTGGATGTCCTGATCATTTTCTAAAAGTCTGCTTCCTCATAGTCTTTTACAGGCCTACTGAATTTACAGTTATTCTGCATAAGTGAGTTTTGTAGACATGGTGTGCCACCTCCAATTTTACAATAACTGATTGTTTTAGAATATACTTTATATGCATTTTCAGGAAGGAGAAGATGCAGCATAAGCAGATATTATTCCCAGTTGAATTACTGTGTCAGAGAACTAAATGAAGTATAACTGAAATTGTCTCCTATTACTAAGGTATTGCTGAAATCCTAATGAACCGACCCCACGCGAGAAATTCACTGGGAAAAGTATTTGTAAATGAAGTGAGTATGGGCCTGGCCTGTGAGTGTGTTTGGAACCACAATCAATAACTAACTGCAGTGAGAATAGTTGTGGGAAATCTAAAAAAAAAACCCCTTATCTCATGATGAAGGGCAGATGATTGGGACAAGACAGGTGAACCTTGAGAAAAACAGAATGTAACAGTTACTGCCTTAGATGTGGGCAGGGATATCTGGGTTATTTAAGTTAGCTACTTTAAGTTAATTTATTGACGTTAACTCAGATGCAAGTTAATGTCCTTACTTGTGTCATTACAACAAAAGCATACTCATTGTCACACCTTGGCAGGTGATCTGTTCAAGGATGACACATCCTATAGAAAGTCTGGCTCATTCCCGGACAGGAAGGGAATTTTAGATACAGCAAAGGTTTATCTATGAGTGGAAGGAAAAAAGAGATGGGGAAATGTGTCATTCTGAATTTGTAGTGGAAAAACCCACAGGTTCTACTGACATGATTTCCATGAATTTTCTGGCACCTGCAGGGAAAAAACCCAAAACACTTCTAGCATAGATTAGGAAGTTGCTATCATTTCAGTGTATATCCACATGCCTAAAATTTTTCTTCTCTTGTGTGCACTCCCCTCCCATAGCTGTTCAGTGCCCTGGAACAGCTGCGCTTCGATGAGCAGGTGCGGGTGGTGGTGTTCAAGAGCCAGGTGAAAGGAGTGTTCTGTGCAGGTCAGTAGCAAAGGCTCTGCAAACCATTCTCAGAAAATGTGGTGGCTCCTAGGGCTGTGTGCCAATCAGATCATGCACTTGGAAATGAGTGCTAAGAGAAATTAAAATAAATGTGTCAAAAGGGCACAGAGGGGCACTCTCGTTACTGCTGCAGCCCAAATGTCCACACTCCAACTTCCACGGACCTTACTTAACTGGAATGCTGTATCCCAGACTTTTTAAATGGTCTGTCCTCTGAGAGGGACAGGAGGGAACATTTCAGATGTCTTTTCCTGGATTCCAACCTTTTTCTCCTTTATTTAGGAGCAGATTTAAAGGAACGTGCAAAGATGGATGATGCAGAAGTTGGAGAGTTTGTTAGAAGACTGAGAAATCTTATGGATGAAATAGGTAAAAGGATTACATCAGTTGGAAAATCTATTCTAGACCACTTGTAGTGAAACATTTAGAAATGCTGTAGGAGGGGATAACCAGCAGGTTATCCACATAGGAGTAGCTTTCCAAATGGCTTCAGCTTATGCCTGAAAGAAAGATCCAATTAGAATTAAATCCCATCCTGCTGCCCCTCCAAGGACAAGATGTGTTTCTTATGCACAATAAAGCACATACACACCTATGTGATAAATACCTGCCCCAAGAAAGGATTAATTTATTCCACACTTCTGTGGAAAGCTTGGGAGGCAAGGGCTGTGTTGGTTGTCCCACTTCCAGTACATGTTCAGAAACACTCAAAATGTGGCACAGACCTAAGAACATGGATTTGAATCTCTGAATGGATTTGCTAAATGGATTTGTGCAATGTCAGGGGGGGTTGTTATCTATAACTCCCTCACCTCCCTTTTCTTTTTCTTTGCAAAATGAATATGAGCTTCTGCAAGGAGTTTTCTTCCCCTATTTATGAATTATTCTGCTCTCACTAGAAAGAAGTACCGAAGTCAAATCTGTCTAAAATACCAATCAGAATTGCAGTAATTTTTAAAAAATGACAGGAGCAGTCAGAGGGGTGGTTACAACAGAGAACCAGCTCACCTCAGAAGTTTGCATCCAGCTGCCTGAGTATGTAAAAAAGCTAATCTCCAGGTACATCAAGCTCCTCAGCTATGAGGTAACCTAGTTAAACAGTGTTTACTGTTTTCAGGAGCCTTGGCTAACAAAAGCACCACAAAAACCAAGTGTTGTGACAGGGCCTAGGGATGGTGTCTTCTCTTTGGCTGTTTAACTAACTGCAACAGATGAATATTCATGTCATAAATTTGCAAGGAGAGGATTGATCCTGTTTTGCATTGCAGTACTTTGTTTGCAAGCTTCTTTGCATGGAAGAAGCATGTTTTGCATTCTTACAAAGAAGGCAGAAGTGCAAGAAGACAGTTTTTACTGTTTCCAGGCCAAGAAATTTGTGGCAGGAGAAAACGAGTCCTTGAGCAATTCTGAACTGAAAGCTTTAGAACGTAAGGATTTAAATTCCAGAGCCATGTGAAGCAGAACTTGTGGAACACAACTGTGCAATCTGTGCTCTGTTCTGCAGCTGCCCTGCCTGTGCCCACGATCGCTGCAATCGATGGCTACGCCTTGGGTGGCGGATTAGAGCTGGCCCTGGCCTGTGACCTCCGCGTGGCAGGTTTGTGCTGCTCACTGGAGCAACCTCCTGGCAACTGATGGCTGCATTTGAAAGAGAACTTACACACGTGACAGGGGATTGTTAATGGAGTCCAGAAGCTTGAGAGAAATTTAAGAGAAGGTTGTACAGAAATGGTGACATTTAGTTATTTGGAAAGTAGTTCCTGTGCTTAAAAAGTAAAACCTATTTTTAGGTAAGATTAGGATTCCTTTAGAAAACTATTTATTAGTAAGATTGAATAGTTATAGTAACTTAATACTGGATCAGATATACTCTAGCCAGATCTAACCTTCCCAGCTTAAATCAGTTTGGGTTGGAAGACTTATTTCTTCTGTTTCTGTGCCTCCATCCATTGTATTTTATCTAGCAGGGGCGTGAGGTTCATTTTTCCAGCTAAAATTGCTACACTGGGGTAAGCAGACTTGAGACAGATATGGAGTAAGTACTGTAGTATTCAGACTTTCTGGCTACCTGGAGAAATGGAGTTCCAGCTCAGTATTGACAGTTTCTAATTTTATTGATCAGTTCAATCTGGAAAACTTCTAGTTATACAAATCAAAATGTAGCTAACTCTACATTTATTTTTTTTCTATAGCTTCATCAGCTAAAATGGGCCTTATTGAGACCACACGAGGACTTCTGCCTGGAGCAGGTAACCTTCATTAAATCTTAACCTTCATTAAACCTTCATTAATATTCATTAAATCTCACTTTCTCAGCTGTATTGTAAATATTTTGCCATTAGAGTGTGTTCGTGAACACTTGAAGTGTTTTGAATGTAAATTAGAAGTAGCATCTTACAGTCACGAAAGAGATCTATGAATCAAGAGTTCTGTCTCAGACTTACTCTGAATGTAGGAAAGTCCCTTTATACTTTTTCTTTTTTATCAAAATACTGAAGTCTTTCAGATGCCTCTCAAAATGTTAACATCTTCAGCTTGTAGTTATTAAAAAAACATATGATCCTTTTATTTTTTAAGGTTCTTGCTTTTATAAGGAGACAAAATACTAGTGAGGCATTTGTCAGAAATGGAAAATGGTGTTTTCCCCGTTGTCCTAAGGTGGAACCCAGCGCCTGCCCAGATGTGTTGGAATAGGCCTTGCCAAGGAACTCATTTTCACTGGCAGACAGGTTGATGGAGAACAGGCAGCCTCCATGGGGCTGGTAAATCACTCAGTGCCCCAGAACAGCGAGGGAGACGCAGCTTACCAGAGAGCTTTGACTTTGGCTAAAGAAATCCTGCCCCAGGTAAGTGCATTGCTCATGGGACCAATGTAAACACAGTGTTTGTGCTCCCCTTAAGAGAGCAAACAAACACCTGAAATTCCTTTCTCTGAAATACTGAAGTCTTGGTTCCTGATCTTTAAGCCTTTTTAAGTCTGTTCCTTTTTGTGAGTGCAGTTTCTGTTGGAACAAGTGTTAACATCCAGCTGCTTAACCCACAGGGCAGGTTTAGCCCCCAGCTGCAGCCACACAGACCTGCAGGACATTGAAACTCACACCGTGCTCATCTGTGAACTGCAGACAACACCAAATTGATTTTTATAAAATACTTATTAACTTACTGCAGATTTCTGTAGACCAAGATGTCATTTGGAGCAAAATAATAATATAACAATCAATCTGTTATAAATTAATGTGAATTTAATTATTTTAAAGTATTTGTTGTGGTTTGTTTTTTGTTTTTAATAAAGGCACCGTTTGCTGTGAAAATGGGAAAACTGGCAATAAACAAAGGAATGGAGGTAATAATTATTTTGTTTAAATACTGAAGTGAATGAAAAGACTAGCAGCTCTTAAAAATTACTACAGTAAAATGTTTAGAACAGATGAGTTATAAAATTTTTATCAGACACTTAAAAACATTTCAGAGGTTTTAAAAGATTTCTTTAGAAGTAAAAGTAAAATGGCAGGATTTTTTTTTTCCTACAGATAGTAATACTGTACTTGTAATTTGGAGTGAAGATCACTTACTATGACTGTTTGAGAGTGACTGACTGCTCTGATTGATTTGAGAGCTCTGGAGTAGCTTTGAGGGCTGTACTTCAGACAAACCTCACACCTTTCCTCTCCTTCCCAGGTTGACATTGCATCAGGGATGGCTATTGAGGGGATGTGTTATGCCCAGGTAATCTGCCTTCAGAATTCATTCCTGAAAGGAACAACTGTATGTTAGTTATAGAATGAGCTTTACAAATAGTTTTAGTTTAATAAATTCAAAATAATTCCTCCTGAAGTTCACTGTGGCAAGTTTTGAGGGCATTCACCTTTCTCAGCTAATGGAACAATACAGGGTTTTACAATACTACAATATAATGTGTCTCTCAGCCTATTTAAGATGATGAAGATTATGGGAAAACTGTTTTCCTATATAGATCTATGGGTTTTTTCTTAGGTGCTTTGTTTGTGAGCTACTCTACAAACTTACAGTGCAACCTTGTCTCTTTTTTTCCTAATTGCAAAACATGGAATTTTATGTATCATTAAAAGAAAAGCAATCTTAGTCTTACACCACTACTGCCAAATTAGTCAGGACTTAAAAACACATCAGAGTTGTAAATGGAAAACATACCTCTGTTTTATTTTTTTTCTCATGTAGAATATTCCCACCAAAGATCGTCAGGAAGGGATGGCTGCCTTCAGGGAGAAGCGACCGCCTCGGTTCACCGGCAAATAACCCGTCCTGCTTCCCCTTGAGTGGCTGGAGATCCACTGATTTCTTAGGATTATTTTTATTATTACACCATTCTGTGCACTTAGCTCCTTGCCTTGGACTGCATTTCTAACTATTCCACTGGATCGTTTTTCTGTACAAATATCCAAATAAAGATTTAACTTTGTACTCCTGATCTTTAAAGCATGTTCATCTGAAGTCAGTGGTTATGGCTCTCACACAGATGACAAGTAAGGAATATGGAGAAGCTTTGGATCACCATAAGCAAAAAAAAAAAAAAAAAGGCAGAATACATAGTGCATTTAAACAGGAAAACCAAACACTGGAGAGAAATTAAATTTATAAAGATGTATCAGTGCTCTTCCACCTGCTTTGACAGAAGAAGCAGTAGTAGCACAGAGCAGTGGCCCTTGACCCCAGCTCTGCTGTGAGTAGTGCAACACTGAGCCACTCCAGGAACCCAAGCTCACCTCCCTTTGGCACCAGTGCTTGAGAACACACAGGCCCTGTATGTGCACAGGGACATAAGGCCATCCCATCGGTCTGTGCCAGACACCCTGGGCACATAATCTCTCTCCATCACCTATATTCCTCTGTTAGCTGACTGGAAGTTAAGGTTATTTTCTCCTTCTGCTTTGAGGTTCTCCAGCACTAAAACATGCCACACAGCTTCTTACTTTCCTAGACTGGGGCTTCCAAAGAAAAATTAATTAATCAACAAACATGGTTTTAGGAAATGCTTTATAGGTTATCAAAATAAGATGTGGCTTACCACATTGGAACTTCATGCCACAATAGTACCAAAGGAAACCACAGTTTCACTTGTGCCAAAAGTGTGTGGGAACCTTACCAAATTATACACATACAAATTTTCTATGTAAAGATCTGCAAAGGTAAAGCAGAGTCAGGATTTGCAGCCTTCACACAAGATGGCAAATGCTACAGGTGGAACACAAAGTTTGAAAGTTGCTTCCAGAATTATTTTGCCCTGGCAGAAACTCCTGAAGTTGCACAGGAGTGTGAAGAGACCTTCCTATAAGTGGCATCTACAAACAGATATAGTGCACTTATACCTTGTAGGCATGCAGAGTTTCCAGCTTGAAAGAATTCTGCTCACTGATTGCCTGAAGTGTGGAGGAGCAAAAGAAAATGGGTATTTAGCATCTCTGTGCTTGCTGGTTGCAGAATTTCATGAAGTGACACATCTCTCAAACATCTGGCCTGATGCCAGCATCATCCTTGCATTTTGTGCTGCATGAAGGAGTAATTTTTTTTTTCAGGTAAGTTGCTTCAGCAAATGCTCCTGTTATTAGGAAAAGACAGCACTGTAAGGAGAGTTGTCATCTTTATTTTAAAATCTTGTAGCAATTGATTTATATTCATTCTAGTGACACCAATTTTGACAAGTTTTGTGATCCATTTCATGTATAAAGGAAATTCCATAGCAGACATCTTAGAAGGGTGGTGGGTAAAAGCCTGTAGGCTGTTTTCATAATTCAAAGCTACAGCCAGCTGAATTTCTGTTGGAATTGAGAAAACTTTATATAACCAGATCCACAGATTAAAATGATGCCAGCCAAAATTATACTCTAGTACAAAAAACAATTACACAACACTGATTAAATTACTGGATCAGTACCTTTTGAGGTTGCTGAAATACACATTAATTAGGTTATTGAAGATTAGAGGTGGTGTTTTTATGTGAAGGATGGGAGTTGGGAGGGAAAGGATTTAAAAATAGTAAAATACAGTCATCATGAAGAAGCCATTTCCGCTGGTAAGCTACCAAACATAAGTTTTCTTTTTAAATTCAATTATCCAATATTTACAGAAGAGTCTCTGAATATCAAATGAGTTGCCATGGAAATATGGAAACGAAGCAGATAAACAAAAACAACACCTGAAATTAAATTGCATTTGAATGGACATGCAGTTTGCTTCCACCACTTGCATTGTATCAGGCATCTGTACACTGTGCAATATGTTTCATTCAACACATGGTTTGGAACCCAAAGGTAACCAAGAAAGAAAGAAGTTGTTACAATTAGCATCTTTATGTAAAATTTCATACTCCACAAAACAATGCAATTGACACAGGGCTTACGCAGAACATTGGGTGATACTTTGCACTTATTGTGATGGCTTGGAAATATAATTCACTGCACAATACTCACAGAATATTTACAGAAAATGAAAGCAATCATTAGTCTCTTATAAATAAGGTGACCAAATATCCCAGCCTTCTATGAATACGTGCAACCCCCTCCATGACGAAGTCATTGCAGTTATTTTGCTCTAATGAGCTTTCTCCCATCCCCATGAGTATTCTAAAAACAAAAGAAAGATATCACACACAACCAAAAGTAGTCACACAACAAAACCCCATACTTGTTATAAAATTTAAATTCTCAAACATCCTTTTAGTACTGTCTCATTTTAGCTCTGTTTCTACTGCTTTACTTCAATGGGTTTCCCCTTTCCCTGAATGTGATGCTGGTCCCCACCTCGACAGGAGCAGGGAGGACTCTGGAGAAATGAACTGTAAAAAGGCATCATCCCAGCAGTAAGAAAACAAAAGAACATGGCTTGCAGGCAAAAGGAAAAGGAAGCTGAAGACCCATTTGTGTCTAGAAGGGTGAAGAGACAATGGACATTTTGGTCGCCTTAGTTACAAGTCTCTCTGTCACCTGCATGCACAGACTTTTGTTTTAGTCTGTAAGTGTTGATCTCACAACCACACACAGTTTTATTCAAACACCAAACTGGTGAACAGTGTTATGAACAGCAATCACAAGGATGGAACAGCCTTTTCTCTCAGAAGTCACAAAACAAGATACTGCTTGAAGTCTTCTTTCCAGCTGTGCATATGGATCTGTACAAGTCCCATCTCCTGCAGGCATGACCAGCTCAAGCTGTGACCCTTTACAAGTTGTGCACGAGGTTGCCATTAAAGGTGACATTCAGCAAGGTTACCACACATGGTTTGGGTACCACAGTTACCAGCAAATCACTTTAATGGTGACCAATAGATTATAAATTACTCCAACTACACACATATCAGAGAGGATTATTACAGAGACAATACTTTACACTCCTCTACCTGCAGCTTTCAGTTTGGTTTGGTTTGTTGCTGTTTTCTACACGGTGGTGGTCTCCCATGGCGCATAATGTGTTTTTCTAAACTATCCAGGATGGCAACAGCAATCCTTTGGACATGGGGATCAGTGTGGACATTTTCCTTGATGTTGTACAAATGCTGCAAACCACCTTCTTCAATTAACATGCTGCAGTATCTGGCGGCTGTAATAGGATTATAAAAAAGAAATTAAAACCAGAATTATCTAGGGTAAAGGTAGGAGATACTGCAAACACTGACTGAAATCCACTTTTGTCTCCAGGCAGTATTTAAGACACTCCCTGAAGTGTCCACAGAAGTGCATGAGTACTTTAACAAGTGACAGCACAACAGAGTTATTTGGACAGGACTCCAGCTGTAATCAGGTCTCTTACCAGTGTGTCTCAGCTGACTGGAAAGTGCCCTGTAATATGCACAGTATTCTCTCTTCCCCCCACCTCCTCTACAGGCATTTAAAGTGCACATAAACAAACCAGAAGAAATGGGAATCAAAAGCACTATGGTGTCTATGAGTATCCAGGTAATAATAGCCCCTTTCCCAAAAACCTTGGTACAGAACAGCTACCAAAAAATGGTATCAGATATACCACATCATTTGTGGAAGCCTCCAGGCTTGGAGAGCAAATACAAACTAGCTCCTTCCAATAGTTTGTTAAATATATTGATGGTGACCTCTCATTAATTATAAGTTGCTACAAATGCCTTTCCAGGGTTTTTTTCCACTTACATTCTGGAATTCACTAAGTTGAAATCACACCCCCATCAGCTGCAGCATTATTAAGAGCAGGGAACAGCTATAAAAAGAGCTGTAGGGTGGATGTAATGTGCAAGCTGCAGAAGTTGTTATGGAAAGGTCAGGATGACTGTAATGCAATCCACAGGGCATTACCTCAGATGGGCCCAATTTCACCATTCATCTCAGTGGTGCAACACCAGACTTGTTTTAATGCTGATGTTGAGCATTTCGCTGGGGATCACATTTACTGTGGCACTACAAATATTTTAGTTAGGTTACCTCACTGAGGTGACTGTGACACAGACAAACAGCAGCAGAAGAAAAAGATACACAAAAAAATTTAAACCAATTACTTCCAGACTACTTTACACTATCTTCTATAAAAGGAGGTCAAATAAAAAGCATCTCCTCTCTAGGACTACTAAAAGCTTTCTTGGTACCAAGCACCAAAAGCTGAAGATTTTCCTCCCAAATATATCTTCATATTTCAGAATTAAACACTTTTTCCCCCACAGTAGGTTATTACATTTGCTACCAAACATTTGGTTTCTCTGCAACTTTGTCCAGAAGCTTCTGGCATCAACGACCATCAGAAATAAAAGAATTCTATCTTGGTCTCAAATCAGGAGTAGGCCAACGCAAACCTCAGTACAATGTTAAAAGCTCAGATGTGAGGGCAAACAAAATACCAAAAATAAATAGAACAAATAGGACAACACAAAGTTAACAGGACTGAGGCACAAAGAGAAATTACAGGGGCTTATTTAAAATCTGTTATCCAGATCTGACCAGTAAAACAATTCTGTCAGAACAGTCTGACTTCATCATGAAAAATCTCACAGATTTCTGGACAGTACCCTGGGAACAGAGGCATATTTATGAGCTCTATGAAGGGCAGCAAAACAGCATTCTGTGTGCAGTTATATATTATGTGATGTTATTGGTGGGTTCTGAATAGATGCCTTATCACTGCAGAAATAGAGATTGATGGGACAGGGATAAACAAGCCTAGATATGCTGCCATCAAGGAGATTAAAAAATGGCACAGAAAACACTTCAAATACTTTAGAAGAAATCTGCTTTATATAGACATATTCATGACAAAAATTTCTGTCAAAAAAACCCCAACATTAAAAGCCAGGAAGGTTTGTCCCCTCCTACACTTAGGTATGGTTGGGGGATTTATTTCCTTTTCCCAAAAATTATGCATAACATCAAATGCTCTCAAATCATTCTACTTCTCATTTTGCAGATGGGAAAGAGAGATTAAGAAAATGACATTTATGCCACAGCAAGTTACTGC